AACTCGTGATAGCACCTGTTACTCCAGTTGACCGCGAAACAGACTCGGTTCCAGAGAGCATCCTCCTGGACCATCTGCATATTAATTTATCTCGCGCTGCACATTACCCACGCTCAAACTAATGCGCTGGCGAAATATCGAGACGCTCGAACAAATCGTGGAAATTTAAGGTTGCGAGAAATCTCGGGGAAATTCAAGGGAAATTCATATAACCGTGTAAAGGAGGGTAGTATTTTTTTTTTCCAATGAAAATTCCACCGCCGTCCTTGCCGTTACGACTAAAGGAAAGGAGGGTCGAAGATCAGAGGACACAGGGAAAAAACGACGCGCCACGTCGTTCCACGACGGAAGCGTCGAGTGGAATTTTAGATTTCCGGGTAAACTGGCGGGAGGGAATGACGCCTTTGGTATAAAATGAATATCGCCAAGCATTGGGCGACGTGCGGTTTTCATTTTCTTCCAGGCTTTACCCACCAAGAGGACACTATATAGATATACATAAAGGGCTATACGTACTGTAGTTTTATGTATCGGTTCTTGTACGTAATCGTGGCCATTTGTCGTGACAAGGAGTGAACGAGTGAACGAGAGAGGAGCCTCGAGTCGAGAGCGTCTCTGCTTATGGTCGCTATATTTATATGAACCAGTAATGCATCACGGGATTGCGTAGACGACGTGTATCTCCTAGTAATGGGAGGAGCACTACCGAAATGCGGAGCAAAGGCTCTTCCGTACTTACTTCCAGTGTCAGTTTGATATATACCTACGTACACGGTGGCGGGAATGGGTCCGGTGCGCCAACTTGGTTTCGGTCCCATTTAAGTCATCGTATGGAAATACAGAACAGCTGTCAGCGCATGCGAGCTCATTCGACAAATTTTATTCTCGCTCACGGGGGATCGTTAGATAAATAATCGATTTTCGTGCTGTAATCGTAGAAAATTTTGATGGGGCAATATCCAGTAGAATGGAGCCCTCGTCGAGATACGTTAATTTGTGGTTACGTCAGATCTGTCTGTACCTCATCGGTCCTGCAGGAAGTCTAGAGGAGTCGATAATAAGCGTATAAGTACTCATAGAGGGAGCGAGAGAAATTGTAAAAAAAAATGAAGGCACTGAAGTTCAGAGACCGTCGGATACGAACGACGGATATGGAGAAACAGTGAAAACGATTCGCGTACGATTTAGTGGCAACTGGTGGCAGCGGAATATAATTTAAAATCGATACTATCTCAATTAATCATGCGGGTTTATATTGTCCAATCAGTATCTACGGGATTGCGGGGAATTATGAAGCGTACGCTTTCGCGGTTTACGGGTGTAAATACAAACGATTGTTAATACCAGGGCTTCCTGTGGGCCGAACGCTGCTGTCTGGGTAGACTTACGTGTCCGCAGGACCAGGGGAGGAGAGGAAGGAGGAAAGGAAGATTCGCAAAGAGGAAGCTACTGGGAATTTATCGTTATCTTAATTATTTCCCCCGAGAGACGTCACTGAGTTTTTAAAGCGATTTGCCAGAGGTACGATTGGCTCGGAGGTAGTTGGGGTAGAAGCACGGGGAATAGCGCTTTCGGAATTATTTGAGATTCATCGGGATGCAGCTTGGCGAACCACTTGTAATTCTTTTCCAGTACCCGGCAGCTTCCTAAGGCAATGGCTACGGCGCTGCCGGTAGTCTCTACCTCCATCAGGAGCTCCTCGCTGATCCGCCGTATTTTTTTGGTCTCGGCCGTCTCTTCGAAGTACCTTGGAAAGAACAGGATAGGCGAACGTTGCTCCGGCGAAGTTAACTTCGCATTTAACATCTGCTTGGAAGGTTAAAATTTCCCTCGAGGTTTACACTAAGTTAGATGGCTGAGTATCTTTTGTCTGGGATCGAGGGTAAAATCAGAGGATTTTATTGTTGCGTGAAAATATCTGCCAGTGAACTTTACTCCCAACTTCTTGCTTTATCTCTTTCGTTACCATTTTCCTCTTTTCGTCTTATACTGCCCTCTTATCCTTTTCACCTCTTTTGGCTTCTCGCTCGACAACAAAAATGATCCTAAAGCACAGAACGAAATCAGAAGGGTCTCACAGGAAGGAATGGGAAATAGAATAGATAACCTGCTAAGCAAGAGATACTCCCACTTCTGGTATATTCTTTTCACGAAAAATCTTAATCTTCTCCTGGACCCAAAATTCCTCTCAAGCTCTCATGTAAACCGTCGCAACTTCTCCGGCTTAATTTCCTTAATCCGACGGCGAACCAAGGCAAAAAACTTAATACCATAGCGAGTGACCTTTATTACACAGCATCCCTCTATCTCTTAACCCTCAGAATTTTCTTATCTCGTATATTCACACATTCAAAAAAAACTCCATCTCCTTCATCAATGCCCATGTTATATTACTCCCAAATCCCACACACGCTACTAATATCAACCCTAAGTCCGGAATAAATTTATTTCAATTCTTCCCTTAGTTTCATTACGGTTGCCGTTTTCTTTTAAGGTCCACGGCCCCGGTGGTTCCTTCCCCAGGTACAAAGTGCTTCCATCCTGAGGCCGTTATACGTAATTCATGAAAGGTGTGTGAAAGTGGTTACAAAACGCTTTAGATACAACACGCACACGTATCCCTTGCAATTCCCTGCTCTCTCTCTCTCTCTTTCTCTCTCTCTCTCTCTCTCTCTCTCTCTCTCTCTCTCTCTCTGCTCACCCTACGTAAATTTTCATTGTTCCTACGAATCCGATGGAGATTCTACTCAATTCCGCAGACAGACAATTACATTGGGTTAGTAAACGAGGTTCGCGCGAAACGAGAAAATGTTCCTACCCACCGCGAGCACTATTGAATTACAAGGGGGTTCACCGAGTCAGGATGTAGAACAGGGTAGTGGAACTGTTTATAACAGGATAGAATAGTAGAGTAGTGGTAATAGTACAATAGAATTCGCGACTGGAAGTTGCTAATCAAAATCCATTCAGAAACGGAGCTTTTAGATTTGGCCTCTGGTGCGATAACGTAATTCTGGTTTATTTTCTGCGAAGACTAGATACGCAAGATCCACGCGACTATTATTTTCTATACTCCCCCCCCCCCCCCCTTTTTTT